CATCCTTCACATCTTCACTACCGCGTCCTGTGGGCCTTCAGCAGTGCTGGAGACGAAACACATCAGACAAGGTAGGACACGGCAAACACGGCCTCTCTCCTCGGCATGCTAGGAGAGCACATGAGTGTCCCCTGCCCCCAGCGAGTGAGTCCCCAGGGCGGCTGCCGCCATCACCAGGCAGAGCACGGCGACCTGTCAAATGACTGCTTAGAGGAGTTGACAAAAACATGGAAGAAAGCTCATTTATTTGTGACATGTTTTAATGTTTGGCCTCATTAGTAAAGAGTCAGAAAGTGTCAAAGAAATGTAATCTGTTTCAACTGCTGCTGCAACAATCCTCTGAATTGTTCACAGTCTTCCATTAAGGTCGCTGGTTTTATATTAAAGTAGCAAAATACAAGCACTTAATGCCTATGAAACGAACTAGCAATAATACATCTCTGACAACTACTGACTTCGGAGCACAGCAGAGACCACGTTCGCTCACTTCACTCTCCTTGACTTGGCCTTCTATGCTAGCCCCACGGTAAACCTGGGACATTTCACTGCTACTTTACATATGTAAGCTTACCCGTAAAGCACATGCAGAAGTAAAACAAACAAGCAAAGTGGAACAAAAGGAAACATAAGCACACGTTTTTGAGGCTTCAGACACCTGGTTCCCTGTATCCTATGTTTTCTGTGGTAAACTGAGGAGGCAGCGGAAGCAGGGCCTCTGTCCTCAGCGCACACTGTGCACTGTGACATGTCATGCTGGGCACCCCTCCCGTATGAACACTGTGCCGACAGTCTGCGGTCTGTGGCCAAGACGGCTAAGGCACTTTTCACCACTGAGTGACACTTCTCTATTACAGAGAAACAAAGCAGTTTTTACCAATGTTTGAACAAATGATGTATAAAATGAAAGGATAATTTGTTTTTATAGCTCTCTGTCAAGTTCCATAGCAGGCTGCCCAACCTGCAAACAATTTATTCTGTAAGAAATGTCACTAAATAATGACAAGGACTCAGGTCAAACGGATTTACATTATATAATTTAAATGTCATTCTGGGAAGACCTGATGGCATTTTGAACAAATAATCTCATTTATTTTTGAAGCTCTAAACTTCAACAAGTTAATTACTGTTGAACTAATGGGTAAACTGAGCATTATAATGAGTGAACATGTCGTTTATCTACTTTAAAAATTTATAGAATTATGCAAGTACTACAAAATCATTCCTTAGATATAAAAGAGGCTTATAGGCATTTAAGGTCTGAACTTAACCTACATCATATTTAAAATACACAGTAACTCTTTCTGCTTTGATTAAATGTGTAGAAGGTTTGATCCATGTTCTTAGTCCCATTGAGAAAATACTGTACATGCAGGCTTCATCACGGGAAAGAAATTATTTCTAGTGAAAATCTCCTAAAGCCAAGTAGTTAAAATGTCACACCTCAAAATATTCACATCTACAGGTCTATCTTGTTTGCACAATGTCAAAGGAAAACTTTCAGGAACCAAAAGTGAAACACTCTAAGGACACAAAGAAATGAGGCACAAACCACCAACTGCTGTGACATTTGGCCTTGCTGAAGTAAATGTGCTTTCTAACCATACATAATAAAAGTACCACCTGGGTTTTGCTGAAAGAGTACCAGAAAAACAAACGACTGGCTTTTAATCTTTGTAAGCAGGAAACATTATCAGCAAAAAGGGCTAAATATGAACATAGGCAGTGGAAATCTGCGGGAAACGGCGTGCGGCCCTCAGTGTGACCGGAGGGCAGGCAGCAGGGGAGCACACAGGTTGGGCCGTGAGGGCGCGGGACAGCCGACCTCTAGTCCTCACAGGGTCACTCTGGGGCTTGATTTCGACAAAATGACCGTGCAGGTTACTAAGAAACCTAATCCTGAAGCAGTCTTGGTTTTATACTGAAATTTAAATCTCTAAGGAACTAAAGATAGGAAAGCATTAAACATCATTTTCTCTTACTAAAAATTAGAACTCTCAAAAAATTTCCACGAACAGCTGTTAAGTCTCTAAAATTAGTCTTCAAGTGGAATCAACAATAAGAATGTGGAAGAAAAGAGTGAAGACAACCGTGCTGAGAGGAGGTTCGATGTTTACTCCAGTGAAGCAGTGAAAATCAACTGTCACCCCATGTGTACACATGTAATGCAGTGTCCTGTATGTACGCAGTTGGTGCTCAATAAATACCTGTTAAATTATATTAATGAGTATACCTCAGACATGAAATAACTCTCTATATTAAGGCTTTCAATGCCTTCACAGAAACCTAATCCCTTTGGCATGACCCCTCTCATATGGATAAGTGTTACCCTAAAGGAATGTGCTTTATGTTCCCTCGAGGCTGTCTGCTTAGCCCATCAAAGGTCATAACTGAGCCCCTCAAAAAGAAAAGAAAATAACTCACTCCTGCTGAGCTGAAGGAGTCTTTCAATGCACCCTCCATGTGGAGAAGCCCTCAGTGACTACTTGGAAAGAGCGAATCTCCACGTGAAGCTCAGGGGCCTCAGAGCACAAGAGCGATGCTGAGGCAGTGTGTGGTTTGTCCCAGCTTCGAGTCTGCGAAGCAGAGACCAGGAGATGGCAGGTACGCTTCTTCTCAACGCTTCCCCTGAGAGCTGCCCTGTGCCACAACGGAGGGTCACTTCAGGGGGCCCCTACGGTTTCTGCAGGTCATCATCTCTCATCCTGACTTATCCCGAGGGCAGCCACCCTGTAATCGAAGCCGTGTCCCCATGCTAAAAGATGCTGTCATGACTGCCTTGACAAAGGACAGACATGAGTGTTTCCACTCTGGCCATTTGAGAATAGAAGCAGACGGGATGGAGGGAAGGAGGTGTCCCTCAGACAGGGCTGGGTCCCCACCAGAGGTCTGGCACCTGCCTTCAGACAGTGTCCAACAGACTGTCAGATATGCTCCACGTATCCTTAGGCCACGGCCTTCTCCAGCACAGCTCAGACCTACTAATATCACGAACGCTGCGTGACTAATGAAAGCAGTGAGGTGAAAGTTGAAGGTCCTACTCTCTGTTTCAGAAACAGAAGTGAGGGCAGGTGAGAAGAACACTGAGTACATTCACTTGTGTTTGCAATGAAGCCTACGGACCAGAGCGGATTTAAATATTGATTTAAACAAATACATTTTGTGTCTAAATAGACTCTATTTTGGCATACATTCATCATCACTTAAGCTTATTTCGCAACATGCCTAGCAGCTATTTTTGCAAAAACAATAATTTAGATGTGAAGAATTTTAAGGGAAAACAGGAAAGATTAGATCACAATGGAACCAATTTTTTTGGAACAATATAAATCCGTCAGCTGCTGAGAACTTAAAAAAAAAGTAAAAAGAGTGTGTCTACACACAGGCAGAGGAACTGTCAGTAAAAGGAGGAAGTGAGGAACAAAGACACGTCCCCAAACGCAAGCAATAAGAGACTGACTGCCTCCCTCACACCGGGAAGGATCTCTCATCCACAGTTTCTCGAACCAGAACATTAAACAACTTCTGAGGAAAGCACGAAAGTAAAGGCACGACAATGAGTACATCCAGGCTAACACAGCCAAAGGCTACTTGGGGCTCCGCTGGAATAAGTCTTTAATCATGCTATAATTAATTCCTAAAAGACTGGGGAGTGGAGCTGGGATGTTTACAATGCTGATCCAGGTAGATGCGGAAGATCTCAGGATTCCACCAGAGAGCGAGTGCCCTGTACCATGCACATCCACGGCGTCACTGTGAAAGAGATCTCAGGCTCCCCTTCAGCTGCACATGCCACTAATTTCCAGGTGACTATAGTTAATGCAAAGTAATTAGCTTTTCTTTATATAAATAACCCTCTTTTCCCATACACAATAAACACTGAAGTAGTTATTTACTCTGCAATTGTCTGCCATGATTTAAAGTTAAATAAACAAACAAAGACAGAGCACTGCCTAGTATGCTCAGCACTGAAAATACATGAAAAATTCTACTTGCTGCATCTACTCAAACCCAGGGCGACACTGGGACCAAAGCCACACACATATTTTAAACATAAATCTCTATAAAATCCATGTATCACACTCAAGAGACCTAAGCTATCAAACATTTACCATCTCTTAACACGCGTGGTGCTAACCTGTACTGGTTGGTAAGCATCAGTCATGAGCAAGTGCCAATAAGGCTACTACAATTCTAAGTGATGGAGACAATACAGTCGAGGCTTTCAGAACATGTCACACAAGATTTGCAACACCTGTTTACGTGTGAATAATTACACCGCAGCTTTTTGGTCGTAAAGTAAGGAAACACAGCATTATGGGGCACAGGAATGCTGCTCTGGGTAGAAAAGTTGATTTCTGCTGGTGGGAGGCAGGTTCATTACCAAAGCTTTGAAACATGAAGTTCATTCTGATGCTGAATGCTGACATAAAGCAACAAAGTGCAGGCAAAAGTAAGAACCAATATAATGCTCAGGCATCACGATGTTTGTAGGAGGAAAACTTCTATTTTTGTATTTTAAATTTTCTCTAGGCCTAGGCGTGGGCAATGTGATTAGTTAAAAAGAAACCTGCACTGAGCTGCTATGACTCTAATTAACCACAGTTTACCGTATAATTTTTAAATGATTAACAAGGAAAGAATACTTGTATGTGTCAGTATTAATAGAAAATTTGATGAAAGAAATCATAAAGATCAAATTGGAAGAGAGCGTAGAACTTTATTCCCACTGCCGTCACGGGTTAGAAGCGTGCCCTCCGAGGCTGCTTCCCTCTCCGTGTGGCTATTTCCCTTCTTCATGGGATTATGGTTGCAGACAGTGTTTTTTGAATGGAAAGAAATTATTTCCAATATAGCATTTTAAAGAAAAACTTGAGACTGAACGTATCTTTACAATTAATTCAGAAAAAACAAAAAAAAACCCAAAACCAAAAACCAAATGAGGTCTACAGTGACTCTTAAAAGGCACTTTAAATTTCAAAGGTTAAAAAAAATCCTCTTACTTAATCCAGTTCATCAGCTCCACTGTATCTGGATCATAGAATTCTCTCAACTCGGAGAGTTCATCCATCATTCCTGGCCAGAACTGAAATTAAAAACAAAACAAAACAAAAACAAAATCCACCCCACACCCACGACTAGCACTAAGATTAGAGCGAAGAAGGAGAAACTGCACATAACTCGAGAACTAACAAACACGGTGACTGAAGACAGGACCTCCTAGCCTCTGCAGTCGACCCTCCCGGCAGAAGTGAGCTGAACTCAGAAGTTTCCAAAACTACTTTGATCCGAAGCGAATCAGGACTACAGGTGTCGTCAACTTTTAAGATGAGCTTTTATTTTACTCTAATAACAATCTATTGTATGTGGTGCCAATACCTAGTAAACCATTAATTTGGATATGACAGGAATAACAACCAGGAGAAAGTTCACAGCATATGAGAAAACTGTAACTAACACCATGCAACACCCCTTTAAATGCACAGTGCACTTGTGGACGACAGCAGCCCTTTAGAGCTGCAAAAATGCTCTGGAATAGAGAAATTTCACTCCATCCTCACAAGGACCAGAGAAAGATGATGCAGAAGGCATCATCACTATCGTATTTATTTTCCACTTTACTAGTACGGAGACTTTGGCTCAGAGACAGAACCTGATGTGACCAGGTCATAAAGTGGCAAAGCCATGACCTGAAACCTGGCTCTAGATTCAGCCCCGCTTTCATTGCACAACATGGTGATTATATTTTTTGTACTAAAAGTCTGGACACATCGTTTGATATACACTAATATAAGTACAGGTACAATGGAATAAAAGAATATTTGAAAGTAGGACTCTCCAGGAAAATGTGGTACATTTAAATACTCTATTTATGCCACTGGTGCTTCTTACTCAACTTGAGTAACTTAAGGATATGCAGATATAATGTAAAAATGACACTCCGAGTCTACTGCTTTCCTAATATAATTTGTTTAATTTAACAACTAATTAAATGTTAATTGTTTTATCAAATGACAATTGGCTGAACATACTTGATCATCTACATCTTAACGTGCACTGCAGAATTCATCTCAATACTGGAATGGAAGGCCAATGACAATCTATCTATGCTTCACTGATGTTGAAAATATAATAATTTTATTTAAGAACCACTACTGGAACCAAAATGGCCCCTGGCCGGTCTACAGCTGCGCTTCAGCCTTGTCACTGTCCTATCTCGCCATCTTGTCTTTGCTGCTCTTTTACATCTTGTCTCCCAGGTGGTGAACGAGGAAAACTGCTTGTGATGGAAAATCAGGTGTCAGTGCTACTGGTTCTGGGTTTTAGAAGAGATGTAATAAAAGCAAGTAATTAAATGATACCTTTGTAATATTTCAATTATCCATTATCTCTACTAATTCTGGTAATCACTAAACTACCAACTTTTTAATGATATGTTCTAAGTCGTTTGGTATAAAACATATTTTGAAAGCTGTGAATTCAATCAATATTAGATATTTTTCCAGTTTGAAAGTTGCTGTTAATTCTGAAAATGTTAAAATCTAGTCTAGTGGTAAACTCCTTAAATAATGTGAAAATAAGTGCTGAATTAACTAAATGCTGCTTCTAAATGACCAGCAGTCGTTTATGAGATTTCAGCAACCCAAGTTAGTTAATCAACACGAGGGTAATAATTTTACTAAACTCTTGATTTTAGACTGGAGACTAGTATAAGCTTTTCACTTTTAAACAGGATTATCCTAAAAAGACACAAAGCAAAACTGGTACTATGAACAGGAAATTTTGAAATCCTCATTACAATCACTGAGTAAAATTCAAATCAGGCTTTGAAACATAGGAGTTCGTATTACTTACAGATAAATCTGTTCAATAGTTGGAAAACGGATTTAGGGTAACTCCTAATATACATAATACCTTTATTTTCTTTGTGATTTTATATTTCACAAGTTTGAGAAGCTGAAATATATAAACTATTTTATACAGTGAAAGCTGGATGCAGTAGGATTTCTCCTAAAGTCCAGGACTTTAGGAGAGGCTTTGTCAATGGTCTTTGGAAGCATTCTTTAGAATTACTCACTCACTCAGGGACTATCTCCAAAGATTTCCTGGAAATGATAGCTTTTTCACTGGTTCTTCTATAGCAGTGGTTCTCGAGGGGCAGGGGAAAGAGATTTTGTCTTACCCCAAGGGGGATGTTTTTGAAGGTCACAACGGGAGAGAGGTGCTATTGGCATCTAGTGGGTAGAAAGCAGAGATGCTGCTCAACATCCCACAATGCACAGGACAGCCCTGTATGACAGAGAATTATCTGGTCACAGCGTCAATAGTGCCGGGAATAATGCTGAGAAACCCTGTTTGACGCAGGGGTTTCTTAAACTTGATGGTGCACTGGCACCACCTGGAGGGCTGATTAAATCTCTGGACTCCACTCCCAGAGTCTCTGACTCAGTAGGTCTGGAGAGGGACCCAAACATCTGTATTTCTAACAAGTTCCCAGGCGATGCTGATGTTGCTTGACTGGGGACCACACTTTGAGAGTCAATGTTCTACAGCCTAATTTATTTCTTCTATGAGGTCTTTCCTCAATTTTATCAAGTGTAAGTGACTTGAGTCCTCAAATGGCTTAAAAAAATCAATAAAATTTCAAATAAATAGCTGAGACATACTTCTACATACACAGAGACAGTGGGAAAGACTGCTGTAGTGTGTGTACATCTTTGGTGAGACAAGAATGATGTCTCTCTTCTGTGAAGAGGACGTTCATCCCTTAGAATCAATGTGGAAAGGTAAAGTTACCTCATTCATTATTAAACATGCACTCTCTTTTATCCTTAGTTGTTGGCTTTCCAGGTATTTTTAAGAAGTGTCATTTATTTACATTAGAGCAATGAGATTCCCAGAGGCAGGGTGGCAGAAAAAATCTATTTCTGTTTCCCACTGTCTAGGAGATAGCACGGTGCTCTGCCCACAACAGTAAATGTTTTGATAGGTAGGGACATGATTGAATAGACTTTGTGAAGTATTTACAATAGAATCATCCAACATAATGATTATCAAACTTTTTTTCAGTCTAAAGCTTTTGCTTCAAATAAAATCTTACATGAAAATATAAGCAAACAAAACGAAAAGCTGAGCTGCTATAGCCGGTCCTCTCTGGGGGTGAGCCCCCTCCCCTCATTTAGCCACTCCCCTCAATCAGGGGCTATACACAGGAGAGTTTGAAATCTGTTGTCCTAACTTAAAACAACATTTGAAGGAAAAAAATTTAAACTTAAAAAATATGTAAGATTTTTTTAAAAAGAGAAGGTGAGAGCTCAGCTGGATAGAAAAATCTGGGCCACTTGCCTGGGTGACAGTTCAAGCCTCTAAGTCTCAAAGATGTGCCAAAGAGTCACAAAGGAGTCAACCTGACCAACGACTCACTGACTCTTGTGGAGGATTCTCAGAACTCGAGCACAGCTAACACTGCTGCAGAAATTAGTCATCGACTGAGAATATGCAGAATGTCACTACTTCCTACGGAAACTGAAGGGCAGATAACAAGACTAATTTTAGATTATTTATCTATAGGTGCTCAGCCTTCTTACAAAGGTGATCTTAAGTATCTAATAAAATACGTAAGTTAAAGCACGATGCATTTTAAGATTTCTTACTCTATATAAAGCAGGTAACAGGGGAAAATAATTTTTCTACTTTGTTCACCTCGAAATAGGTCTAAAAACATCTTTATTTTCAGAATTTGCGTCAGCTGAATAGTAGGTCAAAACTATAATTAGTTACAATGGTTAAATTGTAGTAGTTTTTGCCATAATGTTTTTACTTGTTAAATACTATTTGGGAAACAGATCAGTTTTCCTATCAATGCCAACTGCCATAAGAAGCTAAAGAGATATTTATAATCTCTGCAAAGCACTCTATCTGCCAACAACACACAAAGTACACTGAGTCAAAGCAATTATTCTGCTAAATGATTAATGACAAGAACGAGGAAAATCAATCTTACCTTATAGCACAGATACAGGAGTATTAATATCGGTACCGAATATCGCATTATACAGATCTATGTAAGAAAGACATTGTTTAGATTAAAAGCATTTTGACCTTTTCTGCCTTACAGTTTTGTTTTGTAAACATGACTTTGTTTTTTAAACAACAGAAATATAATTTAATAGAGCATGAGTCTCCAATATGTAAACCAACTGAGTCGATGCAAGGGTCCCAATCATTTGTAAGATTCCTGTAGCGTCTACCATATTGCCACCTAGTGAATTTATGGGGCAAAACAACTCAAAACTGCATTTATAGGCTATTAATCATTACCATACACTTATTAATAATTGTTTTTAAGAGAATACATTATGATAATAATAGTGATAACTCTGGGTAATGGGATTATTAGCGATTTTTCTTTTTTGTGCTTTTCAGTATTTCCAAATTCTGTATAATGAACACTTCTAACCTATGGTCTGGGAACAAATTATTTAAAAAGATAAAATTAAAACTAAAAATAAAATTATTAAAAAAAATTCCTTATAAAATCATAATTTATCAATTATCTAGTTTTAGCTTCAAGTTTTAGTATCTATTTTATTATACTGATGTATGGGAAACTACTGAAAAAAGACCTGGTATGAGAGGAATACTCAGTCATAAAAAAGAAATGGAAAAGGGGACAACACTGACCCTCTTTGGGTTATAAAGATGGATCAACTTCAGAAGTAACTCCCATATTTCAGGGCTGCATAAGCCAAATGACGCAAACACACACATGTGTGACGTCCAGAGGTATTTCATTCTGTAAGAACAGAAACAGGCAAAGGTCAACAAGTGCTGGCTGCGTAGAGACCTGGAGTCTGAGGCAGCTGGAAAGGCAGGTGAATTGTCTGTGACAGTAAAGTCTTACTAAAACGACGCAGAACCATGGGTTAGTCACTAAGTCCAGCGCCTTTTGACAACTATCATATAAGTAAAAATAGAGGAATGCTGGTAATTAGGAAAAAACTGGTTATAAATAATATTTCATACTGGGAGAAGACAGTAAACAAGGACTTTTTTTGGGAACCATAGTTATTAATGAAGATGATTGTCAGTTTCCAAATTATATTGCTAAATTATATCAGGTAAAGAGTGGTTGGATAAAAAAAGAAATCAAACAAACAGATAAGACAAAAGTACCTCATTGTACTCAAGGCCAAGAATCCGAACAGAATGGTATGTATTAAGTTGTAGGCAGCTTCTGGTCTCAGGCCGATTGTGCACGTTCCCATTTTGCTCATGGATTGCTGATTTGTAGAATCACTGAATAAAATAGCAAACACACAAAATTAAGGCTGGGCACATAATGTTAATTTAGTCAAGTCTTTTTTAAAGATACAAGAAACTTATGCCTTCATATGTTTCGAAATGTATTATTTTCCTAAGATAAAATGAATCAGCATGGATCAATTCTGAATTTGTTTATGAGGCTGAAAGTGTCAGAATATAAATACATTAATAGGGGCCAGCCCCGTGGTGCAGTGGTTAAGTGCGCATCTTCCTCTTCGGGGGCCCGGGGTTCGCCGGTTCGGATCCCGGGTGTGGACGTGGCACTGCTTGGCACGCCATGCTGTGGTAGGCGTCCCATATATAAAGTAGAGGAAGATGGGCACGGACGTTAGCTCAGGGCCAGTCTTCCTCAGCAAAAAGAGGAGGATTGGCACATGTTAGCTCAGGGCTAATCCCTCAAAAAAAACACCAGTAATAATTAGAATAAAATGGTAAAAATGTAAAGTGTTTCAATCTTTTAAATTACAGGAGAACAGCAAAAAAGAATCCTTTTGGAATCACTGAAACTGCAAGAGATCTTTAAAAATGTATTATCAGTATTTTTCAAACAAATAAGAAAAAGTAAAAATGTATCCATAACCTTGGAACTCAGTGCCTTTATGAACCAATGATCACATTTTTAACCTACCAATATCTCATTATGTACGTCTAACAGACAATTTTTATCAAATATGGCCACATTAAAATGACTACACCCTGGGGCTGGCCCCGTGGCCGAGTGGTTAAGTTCGCGCGCTCCGCTGCAGGCGTCCCAGTGTTTCGTTGGTTCGAATCCTGGGCGCGGACATGGCACTGCTCGTCAGACCACGCTGAGGCAGCGTCCCACATACCACAACTAGAAGAACCCACAACGAGAAATATACAACTATGTACTGGGGGGCTTTGGGGAGAAAAAGGAAAAAATAGAATCTTTAAAAAAAAATAAATAAATAAAAAAATAAATAAAAAAAAATGACTACACCCATAACATTAACAATAATTCCTTAATATCATCTAATACACCCAGTTCATGCTCTATTTTCCCTGTTTATTGTAATTGCTTTTTTCATGTAGTTATTAAGACCCAAAGCTTGCACACTGCATTTCATCAATGTCTCTTTAAATTATCTTTCAATTAATAAAAGTATTCCCCCCACCTTTTTAAGGTTTATTGGCTGAAGAAAATGTACCATCAGTCCTATAACTATTCCCACCTTCTGGGTTTGGCTGATTGTCTCCTAGTGGTGGTGTTTAATATGTTTCTCCATTCCCATGTTTCTTATAAACTTGTCATTAGATCTAGAGGTTAATTATTAGAGTCATGTTCATTTATTTTGGCAAGAGCACTTCGTGGGGCTGTGATGTTCTCTATACTGCATCACACCGGGGAGCGCAGACTGTCTGCCGTCTCTGCATTAGCGATGTGGAGACGGATGAGCGGGCTCGAATGTTGCACAATTTGTCATCAAGGGGAAAAGGAAACAACAGTAAGGGCTGCCAGTTTAAGAGAAAAATAATACTTTTATAAAGGCCCCACTTATCCTTCACACAAATTCAATAAACTTAGATATGTATGATGCTTCTCTGTAACTAGAGAACTCTTATATCCTAGAAATCCTCTTTTTACCACCCTAGATTCATAAGAAAATTAAAATGATACTCTGAGGTAATTTTCACCACTGGTAGTAATCTTTATTTAAATATCATATATTACAACCCAAACTCTGGCTTCTGTATTGATACTAAAAGACTATTCCAGACAAGGAGAACATATGCCCTCATCTTCCCTTGATACCTGGGAGGATTCTGCGACACTTCCACTGTCCTCCCAGCCAAGCTAGAAAACTCTCACTAATCCCACGAATCCAGAAGAGAGTGCCCCTTCCAGCTGTACCCTTCACACTACGGCAGGCGTGTCGGATACACAAATAGCATCATCCTTCCTAGTACTAAAGAGGCAGAAGTCCTTTAAATACTTGGCGCTGATAAAATATCCTTCAAATTACTTAAAAGTTAATCATATTAAGACACTATAATTTTTAAATTACTCTCATTAACGTAGTGCTTTTCCTCTAATAAAGTCCTAATGTCCCTACCTGGTGGACGAGGATGCTCTAAAATCTTTATCTATAATCATATACCCAATCAGCTTCCAGAGACGGCTCACAGGTCACAGTGAGCACGGCAGACATTCTCACAAACTGCAGGCCACCCGCACCTCCCACTTTGCATGCAGTCTAGAGTCCTGTCGACACCTGGTGTGTCTGGAATAATATTAAATTATGCTGTCTAGAATAATTTCCATCTATTTTCACAGGGCTAAATTTTATCTTGAGCTAGGTATAAAAAAGAACACTTCTGAAAGATACTAAAATAGTTTATAGTCAATGAAATATTTTCATGGTTCAATGTTGCTTCATTCTTAATAATCATAAAACACCTCAAGTGATCCAGGCTCATTTTAACGACTTTTTCCCAGGACAGCTCTCTGGGGGCTGTGAATCACAGTTCACCAGCACCTTAACTGGCAAGGTAACTACACAGAAAATGGGCTTCCTTCTGAGCTTCATTAAGTTTTCACAAATGACAGTAGCTTCAACTTCTTACACTTAATTTTCTTTCAATTTAATAAGGAGAGTAAATGCAAAAAACTTCCAGCAGCTTGACAGGCAAGTATGCTACAAGTTTTTAAAAAATCTTTATTCTCCTTCACTTTTTCTTTTAGTAGATTAGTAGACATGCTAAGTTTTAAAAACATCAATTATTATGTAAGACTTTTAGTAGATACTAATAATTATGGTCCACTACAACTTTATAAGCCCTTCAACAAGATGCAACAAAATAAATAAATAGTAAACTCTTGATGTTTCACCAGAAATAAAAAAGATAGCAAGAGGAAGACAGGTAGAAAAACACAGGAAACTAATAATGGGGAAAAAATAGAGATTATGAGTCAATAATAATACTAATGATAGCTAAAATCTACAAAATATTCTAGGCATAAGGCACTATTTTAAGTACTTTATGTTGTTTTAAGTTACTTCACAAAAAAACCTTCAGAGTAAGTACTCTCATTATTCCTTTTCTACAGATAGGGAAGTGGAAAGACCGAGAGGTTATAAAACAGGCTCAAGGATCACACTGTTCCCAAGTGTGCAAGCCAGGACTTCAACCCAGCCCAGTGTGCATGGCAGCCACTAGTTTTTGCTGTCTCTTAACTACTCCACCCGTAACTACTCAGAGTGGAGTCCACTCAAGATCGGCTATGTTCTCCCTTTACGCTGAACAATACTACTCTGTTCTGTGTCTGATATTTTGATTTTCAACTTAGCAATTTTTCTGCAACGCAGAACAAGTTCATTAAAGCACAACATTCGGTTTCTGAAATATGCCGTACCTGAGATTATGGAAGGCCACAGCTAACGCTGCAATCACTGTGATGCACAGAACAAATATGTAAGCATAAAAGAGCAGAGTATCTGAAAGCCTTTCAAATGTATTAAAAGGCAGGAGGCCAAAAGCTTCTTCACACAGATACAGATTTGCATCAAAATCTCTAGGGAACAAATGGAAAGCAAAGCATTAAATTCAATACGAGACAAATTACAATTCTTTTCCTCGAAATGAGCCTGCAATTAATAGTTGAAGGCACAATGATAATTTAAGTTCTAAAGTCCCTGATGATTTAATATAAAAAAGCAAACATACACTTTAAATTCAGTCATACCTTGTTGCTCCAAACCCAAATTTTGCCTTCAGAAATTTAAATATGTGTTCGTCTGACTTCAGGTTAAGAATTTTCTATCGGGGAGGGAGAAAATGAAAACTGCTGTTAGTGCGTTAGGCACGCTTTCCTGCCAACATCCCACTGAACACACACACGCAGTATCCAGTTTCACAGGACTCTGCGTGTGCGTGTGTAAAATGAGTAAATGTTCACAACAGTTCTTAGAACTGAGGAATTCTAAAGGAGGGACTTGCAAGCTCCCTCCATTTCTTTTTTTTTTTAGCAGAATCATTTTTTTCAAACAAAATCTTATGCGTAAGTTCAATACGTAAAGTAGATAAAAGCTGAGCTTCTTCGGTCAGTGAGAGAGAGACGGCTCAAGCCCAGGGAAGACGATTATTCAGATCAGAAAACCAACGATACAATGATCTGAAACCTCATATAGGCCTACAGCTCGTAATGCCTGTTTGGCTTTGGGGTTTCTGTCTGGAGGTACAGCGGCTGTAAGACTCACTCACACAGAGACAGACAGCTCAGGACACAGCAGAAACCCTCAAGGGGTGAACAAAGGCCAGTAGTCATCATTACTGATTATCATTTTAATTCATATAGTGTTATTTTTAACTTATGGCTTACAAAAATCCATATAACATAAATAGGTGAAGAAACCGCTATCAGAAGAAAAATGAAGATAGAAAATAAGATGAATCCAGAACTGAGGTTAGTACACAAAATATAGTCACTAGAGAGGAGCCACTAATCTGGGCTTATGCATGCTAGTAACAAATGCAGAGAGGAAGACAAAAGCATTTATGTTACTCACGGGGTCATATGATTAAAAGAAACTAGCTGCTCAGAAGAGACCCTAACAGTCCTAGAACCGAGACTCAAGAGAAGTTTTGCCCATGGGTACAGCAAAAACAGGAGTCTCACAGACTGTGTTTCCAATTCCTCTCGTTGTAGGGCGCTGGAGAAACATCAAGCGCAACTCAACAGACGTTATTCTTTGGGGGTCCAGGCAGGCAGCTCTCTACTGGTGTAAGCCAGGCCCAGATCAGCACCCGTCTGCAGCAGGCAAACGGATAAACTGCACATCTTTCAGCCAGTCTCTCAGAAATGCTGATTGTTCTGCTCAGACGAGCTTTTGAAAAGTATGAACTATACAGAGTTTCCGAACACAGTGACAAGGATCGGGAGCGGAGGTGTGTAACGTGGCTGGCTGAGGGAAGAGGCTGTTCTCCTCTGACAGTCAACAGACAGGAAGAGGGCCTGCCGTTCTCTGTGGAGGGGAAGGAGCACGTCCTGCACAGGCAGACGTCTCCTGTCCTGAGATCAGCCGTCCAGGAGGGGTGAAACCATCTCCACGAATCTGTCTGTCTCAGAGTAAAGCCAGTTTATTTATTAACTTAACCCAACAAAAATCACGTCATCTTTCTTTCCACAGTGCAGAAAACTAACTCTAAAAAGTAGAATTTTTTAAATTTAGAGAAATATGTACTTAATGCTTTTAAAAAAGTTTAATAACTCAAAAGACGAGTTCAAGGAGTGAAATCAGTTTTTAGAATCAAGAAAATAATCCTGTTACTGAAACAAAGCTAAAACCGAGCCTGTTTAAAGTAAAACTGGTAACCTTCAGTAAAGCTAAATTAAATACGTCATTTTATTAACCTACCTTAACAACGTTGTTGAGAAAAAGCGTCAAACATAAAACCACAAATAAATGTAACAAAAGTTTCCCAAGTCTATTAAGGAAGCTTCCAGTTTTCAGATTTTTCTAGAAATTAAAAGAGTTAAGTTTTAATTCTTAAACTTTAATATAACTTCATAAATATTTAAGATGAGATTACTTAAGTATTTAAAACATTGGATCATACAGAGAACATTGCAACATATAGGGAAAATATGTGGAAAATATTACCTACTGATTTTCATGAGGTTACACCGTTTACAAAAGGTCTTAACATTTGTAACTTTCTAATAGTAATGAATTCCCTAATAATAAGCTCTAAGATGAGGAAATGTGTCCTAGTTTGTTTTTTTTTTTTTAAGACCTTTGCAATTAGGGTATGGGGTCTGCCACTTAGAAGGTATTCAGGATATAGTGACTGAACAAATTTTTTGATCATTTACCCATTAATTCATATATCACAGACAGAACTATAGCCCAATTAAATAAAATATTGAATGGTGTAAAAAAAGTAAATTGTGCTCTTTGATATATGAGTTTTCTTATAACCCTCAGATAACTTTACAGATTATCAAATACAATAATGTCTAAAGAGTTCAAATATGAGTGACATTTATTTATAATTAAGGTTGAAATGATGAATGAAAACTAGCGTTTTTGACAGTCAACTAAAAAGCCTGCTTTTTGTTTTTTTTTGGTGAGGAAGATTGGCCCTGAGCTAATGTCTGTGCCAGTATTCCTCTATTTTCTACGTGGGATGCCACCACAGCATGGCTTGAGGAGCAGTGTGCAGGCCCTTGCCCAGGACAGGAGCCCATGACCCAGGGCCTCTGAAGTGGAGCACGCGAACTGAACTAGTACGCCACCAGGCCGGTCTCTAAAAGCTTGTTTTTTAAAATCTTTGTGACAGTTTGTCCATAGCAGCTGTCACTCAAAGAGTAATAAGAAAAAGGAGTTACTACTCTCGAAGTGGAAAGAAAATGGCTTCTTGATATAGTACGAGAAAGAAAACAGACTTTGTGACATTATTAAGGAAAGAAACTGACCCTCAAATCTGAAGTAAATTTCAGAAACTTTAATTATATAATAAAGCAAAAGATGAGGTCAATATTTTCAAATATGATACCCTATTTATTTGGATTCTCAGAATTCTCAAAACAGAGTTAATTTTATTTCACTTAAAAATCAATATGATATGGAAGGACAGGAGAAAGAGTAGTGTTACTACATCAAACAATAACAAGGTGTCCACCAACTTGAAAGACTGTGACGAACACATTCCCACAAGCAAGAAGTTCTTACTCTTGAGTTCACACATGAAAAAAAAAAATTTTTTTTGTCTTTTATATCAACTTTAAATCAATGGCATTCAAATAAGCATCTTTGGCTAATCCCTGAATTATGATTCCAATTCTCTAAGAAATAATAAATGTCAAAACAAAGAGATGGAACATCAGAAAGCTCAAAAACAGAAATATACCATGCACTTCAAAAAAAGGGCAAATAATGCCACTAGTGCTTTTTAGTGGGACTTTGGTCTTAAATTTTCCTTTGTATGCTGTATGAAAATAAGGTCCAATCAATCACAAAATTAAGAAAAAAGTTTACTGTGATTAAGGACAAAAAAAGTCCTACCTGAAGTTTTCTTGCAATTAATACTGAAAGGTTAAAACTGATAAGCAATGATCCAAGAATCATGGAATTAAGAAACTGAAGAACGCAGACCAGGAGCAAACCTGTTATCTGTATACCATACAGCCATGTCACCTGCAACAAGCAAAGATTACATGGTTATACAGATTTATCGAGAGACTACCACATACCGACGTGTCGGTCACTAGGCTGGATACCTCTCAAGTTACAAATAACGCAGAAAACACATCTAACTTCAAGTAATACAATCTGAAAAAGGAAACTAACTCACATACATACCAGCTGTTTATTTACTTTTTTTTTTATAAGATTTTATTTTTCCCTTTTTCTCCCCAAAGCCCCCCAGTACATAGTTGTATATTCTTCATTGTGGGTCCTTCTAGTTGTGGCATGTGGGATGCTGCCTCAGCGTGGTCTGATGAGCAGTGCCATGTCCGCGCCCAGGATTCGAACCAACAAAACACTGGGCCGCCTGCAGCAGAGCACGTGAACTTAACCACTCGGCCACGGGGCCAGCCCCCTGTTTATTTACTTTTTAATTAAGAACATTTTAAATTTTATAACATTAATTAAAGAGGAAAGAGAATATGAAGTAGCAGAAGCAAGCAAAAAATATTCTGGAAATAGGCAAATGCAGTTTGCATCTGCAATTTTCTTCTAAATTCTTTTAGTTATTGTCTGCAGACAACAATCAGCATTTCTCGTGTCCCGCTATTCCCTAACTTCCCCAACTGTACCCTTTAGGACTGTGTCCTGCATGGCTTCATCTTATCTGTCTGCGTTGTGCCTAACTCCCCCACTAGACGGAACTCCCCCTGGAGCACGGCCTCAGGCCCTTTGACCTCACAGGTCCCGAGCAGGCAGCGCAGTGCAGCGGTCAAGACCATGGTGCTGATGGTGTAAACCAGCTGTGGGACCTTAATGTGCTGGAATTGGCTCATCTGTAAAAGAGGGACCATGACACCTTCCTCAAGGTGCTGCAAGGACCTGGCATGGGGGCCGGCTATGCTAACGTCTTACAATGCCTAGCACCTAACAGGCACTCACCAGCAACAGCTCTTGATGTAATAAAAATTGCTGACAGGTTGACACTGAAAGAAGCAAAACTCAACCAACCCAAACACGAAAAACATCTCAAAGAAAAAGAAGATAGCCTCTAAGAACGAGTTGATACCTTTTTTCATCTTTCGAATTAGATAATTTTACATTCATAATGGCATATGAAAAATTCTACTTTTATCAGCACTGTAGGGTCTCACACGCTCATCAATAAACTTTGAGCCCTTTAAGAGCCATGTGTCCTCTGGCCCCCTGCTGGGCAGGACGCCAACCACCTGGGATTTGTCACAATCAGGGGCCCTGGCCAACCTGGATCTTCTCTCATTCAAAGAATGTCACATCTTGAAGGCACACAGAGCCCTTCCATGTGAGCTGCTGTTCCTGGAAACGCTGGTCCTACCAAGGACAGTCCCTCTTGGCAAGCACGCAGCCTCTGTCCTCTGCCTATATAATCAACCCCCTCTCTGCCCACAGTAGCAGGTTCACAACTCGTCCAGCCAGCCGCTGCTGGACATGCCCTATGCCTAAGTCCCTGTAAACCTCTATGTCTCATATGCCGTCTCCAGGTCTTTTCTTCCGTCTCTCCACACCATATCCGCCACTCTTGCTCAACTGGGCATCGGGCCAGACAAGTGGCAAATCAGATTTTCCCCATAGTTTGGTTTTCTTAACCTCAAAGGAAGCAAACCCACATTAAGCATTTAAAAGCATGGCCGGTAACAGTTCAGTGCTTCTGCTGGGTGATAAGGAAACTCGGGGAAATTGGTGCTGATAGTTCTTAGGACTAAAACTGTAGGAGATTTAGAAAATTCAGAAAAACATAAAAAAGCAATGGTAATGGACAGAAAAGTGGGCTCTAGAGTCAAAATATAACATTATTACCTACAGAAATTATCTTGATTTCATAGTGGTGTATGATATTTCATGTAGCATTTATTTCACGTTATAATTTCTCATATCAATGACTATTCTGTGAAAATTTAATTTTAAATGGCTACATAACATTCCACCATATGCCATAATTTGTCTGCCACTGGATCATTTAAGTGTTTCTAGCTTTTTATTATTATTGAAATGAGTGTTATTACGAACCTCCTTCTAAAAAATCCCTCAGGTCATTATATCTGATTAGTTCCTTATTTTGTTTATTGCTGTGTCCCTAGCACCTAAAACAATGCCCACTAAAGCAGTGTCGCTCAATAAATACTGGAGGAATGAATGAACGAAAGCACTTCCTTAGAACAGATTCCTAAAAGCAGAACTACTGGGTAGAGAAGAAATAGTTTTTCCTTTTTAACAGCTTTACCGAGATATAATTCATCTATCATAAAATTCACCCATTTAAAGCATACAATTCATGACTTTTAGTTTATTAACAGAGTCGTGCAAATATCACTACAATCTAATTTTAAGATATTCTCATCACTCCAACAGAAACCCCATATCCATTAGCCCTCACTCCTCATTTCCTTCCCCTGGTCCCTGTCAAACACTCATCTACTTTCTGCCTCTATAGATTTGCATACTCTAGACATTTCATACAAACAGAACCACACGATATGTGTTTTTGGTGACTGGCTTCTTTTAATTAGCACAATGTTTTCAAGGTTCATCCATGCTGTAGTGTGTATCAGTATTTCACTCTTTTTATTGAACAATATTTCATTGTATGGATATACCACATTTTGTTTACCCATTCATCAGTTGATGGGCATTTGGGTAGTTTCCACTTTTTGGCTATTATCAATCATGCTGCCACGAACATTCATGTACAAATTTTTATGTGGATATGTTTTCATTTCTCTTGGGTATCTACCTAGCAGTGGAATTGCTGGGTGACACAATAACTCTATGTTTAACATCTGAGGAAATGCTAAACTGTTTTCCAAAGTGGCTGCTCCATTTTACAATCCCACCAGTAACATGAGAGTTCCAATTTGTTCATATCCTTGCCAACATGTGATATTATCTTTTTTTAAAAAAATTTTTAGGCATCCAAGTAGGTGTAAAGTGGTATGTCATTGTGGTTTTGATTTGCATTTCCCTAATGACTAGTGATGTTGAGCATCTAGTCATGTACTTAGTAGACATTTATATATCTTCTTTGGAGAAATGTCTAATTCCAATCCTTTGCTCAAGTTTTATTATTGAAAGAGTTGTCAAGAGTTCTTTATATATATTCTGGAAGTCTCTTATCAGATAAATGATTTGCAAATATTCTCTCCCATTTTGTTGAGTTGTCTTTCACTTTCTTCATTGTATCTCTGAAGTACAAAATTTTTTATTTTGATGAAATCTAATTCATTTATTTTTAGTCACTTGTGCTTTTGGTGTTATATCTAAGAAAGCTTGGCCTACTCCAAGGTCATGAAGAATTATTCCTATCTTCTAAATATTTTATGGTTTTAGCTGTTACAATTAGGTCTATGACATATTTTGAGTTAATTATTGTGTATGGTGAGAGGAGGGAGTCAACTTTATTCTTTTACATGCAGATATCCAGTTATCCCAGCATCATTTGTTGAAAAGATTACTCTTTTTCCATAATTATCTTGGCACCTTGTTGAAACTCTATTGACTTTATTTCTGGTGAGGGTTTATTCCTGGTCTCAATTCTATTCCATCAATTTATGTCTGTCCTTCTGCTAGTATCACACCATCTAGATTATTATAGCTTGGAACTAAGTTTTGAAATTTGAACGTGTGAACTTTGAAGGAAACTTTATTCTTTTTCATGATTGTTTTAGCTATTCTGGGTCCCTTAAGTTTCCATATGAATTTTAGGATCAGTTTGTCCATTTCTGCCAAAAATATACCTGGGATTCTGAGAGAAATCATGCTGAATCTCTAGATCAATTTGGGGAGTATTGCCATCTTAACAATACTAAGTCTTCCAATCCATGAAGATGGGTATCTTTTCCAATTTATATAGGTGTTTAAAACTTTCAACAATGTTTTGTACTTTTCAGAGTATAAGTGTGTACTTCTTTTGTTCAACTTATACCTAAGTCTTTTATTCTTTTTGATGCTTTCCCTTCTAGGAAGTATTTCTACCTTTTTCTCTTTTCTACTGAAGTATAAATGTTTTCCTCATTGATTTGTAGGAACTCTTAAATATAACAACTCATTCACAAATATATATTTTTTAAATAAAACATTTGTTTGTTTGCCTTTATTTGGGTTATAGCGTTTTTTGTAGCTGGCAGTTCTTTTTATATGAAGTAGGCACACTTCTAGGAAAAAACAATAGCTTGGGTTATAACAAGATTGTATAGTTTATAAATGTAACGATATTCTAGGTTCAAAAGAAACATTACTGGTGAGAAACCAGAAATGTAAAATTGAGCAGTAAGTTACATTAGAAAGTCCTGGATTATTGGTGGTACATCTGATATTCTTTCTCAGGTGCTATTAGTCCAGTACAGTTTAAAAACAAGGCAGCAATATGTTCTTTTTCCGTGGAATAATTAGAGCTTTCTTCAGTGGATCATGCTCATGCTGTTCATCATCATTCATAATTAACCGTGGTTAGCATTTGTTTAACACTCATAAAACACCAGGTGGTGTTCTAAATGACTCAGATATATTAACTCACCCAAATCTAGGCATTTTGGCTCTAGAGACTGTGTTCTTATCCACTATGCTCTGCTGGCTAGAACATTAGAGCCAAAGAGACTCAGAACTTCGGTATCAAAGTCTGTTGAGTTTTTAATGCTCCAAGGCAATTATGGAGTCTTCCCAGAGGTTATAATTTTACTGATCTCTGAAAGAACTAGCTTTTTACCTCACTGATTTCCTCTATTTCTTTTGTTTTCAATTTCATTGATTTTTGCTCTTTATTATTTTCTTCCTTCTGCTTGAGTTGGGTTTATTTTGCTCTTCTTTTTCTAGATTCTTAAGATGGGAACTTAGATTACTGATTTCAGATTTGTCTTCTTTTCTAACGTAAGGTTTGACATGTTGCATTTTTGTTGTGACTGAGTTCAATGGCCCCTCGAGGCTTCCTCTTTAACACGTTCTTTAGAAGTGTGCTGCTTAGTTTCCAAGTACTGGAA